TAAAGGAAAATTGCATTGACTAAATGCAGATGATGTGGCCTGCAGGACAAATGCTGTCACACAGCTACAACCTATCCCTATCCTTCAAACCAGATCAACATTAGTACCCAACCTGTGCCAGAGGCACAAAGAATTGGAGAATTGGTTTCAACATATATGTGAAAATGACGTACAAAAGACTTTCTGTATGAACAGAATAGACTCTATGCAGAATGGACCCAGGTAATAAACACAGTATAAGTGAAACTGGAGCAGTTTAATCTTTAAATATCATTCCAACAAAGACTAGAATGGAAAGCAATATGGCTTTAAAATTATCTTAGCAAGTTTTTTTCTAAAAAATTTATATCTGGAGTCTCTTTGACTCTTATACCTGAAGAACCTTTCCCCAACCCCTTCAGTCCTCTAAAATGGTCTCTCGTGTTTCAAAGAGAAGCTGACCTCTTGGCAAGGATTATATAATTCCTGGTAGCCAAGACATGAAATAGACATGGCACTGTCATCATAAGTCACTGATCTACTTTACTGCCAGAATACAGGAATCTTCCAGACAAAACAAAGCTGAGGACACAGAACAAGAGAATGGATAAATGCTGCCCCTTCAAATCCTAATAATAACCACAAAGGACTAGATTTAAGAAAGAAGAGTGATTGCATTTTTATGACTGAAAGGAGTAGTTTGGAAAACAAGGAAAGGCTAAATAAACTGGACTAGCTTGAACTTATTCACTCTTTCAACAAATACTTGAGTACCTACTTTGTGCCAGGCCTGTTTTAGCTGCTGGGGATATAGCAATAAACAAGACAAATCCCCTGCCCTCAAGAAGCTTCCTTTCCAGCCCGAGAGACAGAAAAACAAATGGACAAATATGCACAGGAATGGGGATAATGCCTAGGTCAGGGCCTTCTTGTAGAGAGAGCAAAAAAGGACAGAGTAGTAGGAGAGCGAAGCAAGGGCCAGATTGTGGAGGGCCTTGTAGGCCCACATTTATAAGTTTGGACTTCTCTAAGTGAAAGAAAAATCATCAGAGAATTTTAAAAGTGGGTGACAGGATTTGAGATATTTTCTAAAGATAACTTTACCTGCTACATGGAGAATGGACAAAAGTAGAAGCAGGGAGACCAGCTAAGGGGATATTACAAAAATCTAGCCTGGAGTCAACTGAAGCTTGAACTAGTTTGGCAGAGGTTGCAATGATAATCAGATTTAGACAAAGTAAGAGCTACCAGATTTACTTAAAAAAAGAGGGTAACAGTTCCATTTTCTTAATGAATTTGACCAGTAGAAGACAACACAAGAATATCTCAATTTAATTTAAAAGTAAGATTTCATTAAGACTTCAAATTCATGCCTACTTTTAATGTGGCTATATAATTTAGATAGATGGGTAATAAGGCTCTTGCTACTTTTATTTTATTTATTTATTTATTTTTTCCCTTTTTGTCTTTTTTCGTAACCGGCAATGGATCGCAACCCTCAGTGTCGCGCCTGTACCAGACCAGGACCAGCAACGGGATTGCAACCCTCGGTGTTGCACCCGCACCTCGTTCAGCCAGTGAGCGGCCGGTCTGTATGTGGGATCCGAACCCTCAGCGGGAGCGCCGCTGTGCTCCCAAGCGGCGCACTGTAGCAGTGCACCACCGGGCCAGCCCTTCGCTACTTTTATTGTAAGAAGGACATTTGTTAAGCATACTAAAGCAAATCTACTTAAATATAAATTCTGGCCAAAAAATAGGACAATGAAGGGCCGGCCCGGTGGCGCACTCGGTAGAGTGCGGCGCTTGGGAGCATGGCGGCGCTCCCACCGAGGGTTCGGATCCCATATAGAGACTGGTCCACTCACTGGTTGAGCATGGTGCGGGCGCAACACCAAGGGTTGCGATCCCGTTGCCAGTCGCGGTACGGGCGCAACACCGAGGGTTGCGATCCCGTTACCGGTCACAAAAAAAAGACAAAAAGGAAAAAAAAAAAATAAGACCATGAAAAATTATGACCTGAAAAACTATGTTTGGTGTGGATGCATTTTTAAAGTTTTTTTTCTTTCTTTCTTTCTTTTTTGTCTTTTTTCCGTGTCCGGCAACGGATTGCAACCCTCAGTGTCGCCCCCGTACCGGACCGGGACCAGCAATGGGATCGCAACCCTCGGTGTTGCCCCCGTGCCTCGCTCAGCCAGTGAGCGGGAACCGGTCTGTATGTGGGACCCAAACCCTCGGGCGGGAGCGGCGCCGCGCTTCCCAAGTGGCGCACTATCCAGTGAGCCACCGGGCTGGCCCTTTTTTTTTCTTTTTGGCAGCTGGCAGGTATGGTGATCTGAACTGTGACCTTGGTGTTAGAAGGCTGTGCTCCAACCAACTAAGCTAAACAGCCAGCTGCATTTTTAAAGATTTTTAAAATGCTCTTTGGTTTAACGAATAGTAATTGACTTTTGATTTGTCCTGGTATTTGATATGCTCAATTATTAAGATAAGATGCAGATGATATTTAAAACACTTTGGCTTTCTCTGCAACTTTTCTGATCTAAGCACTAAATAGATGTTAAGCAATTTGTTAGAATTAAAGCCTGAATGGCCAGAAGTGGGCCAAGAAAAGATCCCTTTCACCTCAACAGTGCAGTACAAAGGTTTAGCCAACAGAATGTTGAAACCATTCACAACTATTTCAGAGCTTCAGTGAATGAAGCTGCTGCTATGTGGCTCAGTGACAGACACTGACAGCAATAAAATGTACTGAAGTGATAAAGAACAAATAAACAAACCTTAACAACAATAATACCAGAGATGATGCTCCTTTTTCTTTGCTTTTTCTTTTCCCCCTAGCTAACCGTCTTAAAACTACAACTGAAAACTAGACTTGCTCAAATGAGCAAGCAATAAATCAAATCACTACCACTTTTTTCTAATATCAGCAGTGTAGATAAGTCCATGTATCAGACCAGTATTAAAATAGCCTTATGTTTACCTAGCATTTAGAGTACTCCACCTAGGCTACCAGCGGTCAAAATCTCAAAAAGTAAAGCCTCAAACATTTCCCCCCCAAAATACCAGCTTTTAAAACAACTAATGAAAATTATGTATTTCAATTAAGTATAATTCCATTCCTAATAGTTTTAAATATAAGAAAATCATATACTTTATATTGTAGATGGCGTAAAGCTTTTGGTACCATCCTTTTAAGAAAAGTGTTTTTCTCAAAAACTAATGCATTCTCTAGTGTCAAGTTTCTCACTATGATCAGAAAACATACATGGTTTTATCAACTCTCATTTGCTTTCATTTCTTCAGAACGTAGCTTGTAATTTTTCTAACAAATTTTGAATTCTTTTATGTATTCCTAAATAAGTAATACTGTTAACATTTTAATTTGACTGTCCTAAGGCTGACATATCTTTCATATGTATAGCATTTCTATCTAAATGTTTTACACACTAATAGTATGGCAGAAGATTTTTCTTTTTTTAAAATTAGTATAAAATTGCTATACTATAAAACTACTTTATGATACAGATTAGGATCAGTTTTTTAAACGGGTCATGTACTCAACTTTCCCTACTTTGTTCCAAATGCATCGGCATGAATCATACATTAAATAACACCTTCCCGAATTTTATCAAGGAAGTCCGTGCAAAACACAGACTAAGATACAGTTATAAACAAAAACTAAACTTCACAACTGAAAACCAAAAAGTAAACTATGTCTGACTAAGCTTACTTCTAAAAGGAGGGCTGGCCGGTTAGTTCAGTTGGTTACAGCGCAGTGCTGATAACACCAAGGTCCAGGGTTCGATCCCTGTACTGGCCAGCCCCCAACAAATAAATCAGAAAAGGAAATCTTCAAACAGCAGGTGAACAGAGATTTCAATGAACATCAAAGAAGAGGGTAAAAATGTGTTGACTTCCCTCGTTAGGAGTACATCACAGTGTCCTGGAGGGGCCACTCAAGATTGGAATAGGGTTTAGAATAGAATGCTTTCAATCAGCAAAGGCAGACCATTAACTACTGTAATTTAAAACAAACAATTCAGGCCTCCCCGGCCCACTTTCTTCTTATTTTAGTCCTAGCGATTGAGTCATGTAACTTGCACAGTGACATCAAGAAGTCCTTGCTGTTCTGTCCTCATGTCAGTGAACAGAAACATTTTTTCTTTATTATATCTTCAAAAAGTGAAAACTAAGAATCTCTAGAGGGTCTCATGCATCTGTGTCTGTTTGGGTCTCGTGTCTGTCTTTATTTACAAATGTTAATACCAAGTAACTATGGAAGAAGTAGTGCTTAAAGAGAGGGCAGAAGTTAAGTTTTAGGGTAACAGTAATTGCCTCAACTAAAAGACACTCCCTGGATAATTATCATTCATTGAGCACTTGTACAACTTGAAGTTGAGAGTAAATTTCGGAGGAAATACAGCGAGTACCGGGAGTTATTCCAATGCAAGGCGAAAGTATCGCTAAAAACGCATCATACCCTAATGTCAATGCGCAAAAGATCCAGAAACCTGACCTTGCCTACAAGTCGAACAGTCCTGCACCCCTCCCCCTAGCTTTCAGGGGAGCTGGTTCACGCAATCCCCACTGGTCTGTCTGCCTGTTCCAGCACCTGCCCTGCAGTGACAAGGGAATCTCCACATAAGACAAGAGGGTCTGAAAGGAGGCGGCCTGAGAAACGGTGAGGCCCAGGAAAAGAGGATTCAAAGGGGAGAGGACCTTCGGAGAGATGAGGTCAGGCGGTTAGGGGTAACAGGGACATGGCTTGGGAGGACGACTCGGGGACAGGGAAGAGAGGTCTGAGGAGGGCTCAGACGAGGAGAGAGGGTGAGGGCCGCCGGCAGGCAGCCGAAAGGAAAGAGCGAAGGGGCTGGGAGGCCTGGGGAAGCGGAGAGAGGAGAGTGGGGCTGCGAGGGGCGAGGAAGGCCGGGGCTGCAGAGGCGGCAGGGGCTGCAGGGGCTGCAGGGGCGGCAGGGGTGGCGGGAACCGGGGCTACGGCCAGCACGGGCGAGCAAACTCACGTTCTCCCACCAGCAGGATCCGCACGTCTTTCTTCATGTCGGCAGCCGGCGGGGGCCGACCTTGGCCCGCATGCATGGAGTGGGCCCCTCCAGCCGGGAGCGTCCACCCCTCGGCTCCGCTCTACCCAAGCTGCCGGCGCCACCTGCCAGCCTCCTTGACCGCCCGGGTCGCCGCGCCGCCTCCTCGGCTGTTTCCCCGCTCAGGCGCCGGGACAGCGCCAGCTCCGCCTCCTCCCA